CACTTTGAGAACATATACAACAGGATCATTCATTAACAACCAAAACAAACGAAGCTCGGATTTCAGAAAGCCTGTGCAAGATAACCACACATTTCCCTTCATCTGACTGCTTGGGTCATAAAAAGCAGGGGAAAGCAAAGAAAGAAGGCCACAATTTAGATAAATTAAAAAAAATTTTTCTTCTTTTTCTCTGTCTTCTTCAATTACCGGCTTCGATTCTACAACTCTCTCTGCTTGTGCAGACCTCACCACAAAGTGCCATTCTGGCCTTCTCAATTAGTCAGACATTACCCATCACTCTCCATTTATGAAGAGAGTAGGAGAGTGAAAAACAGATTTAAACTACAGAAAACACAGGTAATCTGGAATAGCCACAAAGTAAATATTCATGGAAATAAGAATTGCATGCCAAAAATGCATTATGAAGATATCAAGATGAAAAAAAAATTACCTAAAAGGATATTTCTAAAAATAAAGAATTGACTATATAAATCTAGTCCTTCACTGAGAGACAGGGAGAATAGAATATAGATTATACAATGTCATGTTGAGTTTATGGCAACCTGTGTGTGTATGTGTTGTGTTGATGTGTGTGCATTGTGTGTATGTGTGTGTATTTCTGTGTGTGGTGTATACACAGGTAGTAGGAGGTGTGCACTTGCATGTGTCTTATCTGTGTGTGTGTTAGATCCAAACTCACATACCCATGCTTACATGGCAGGTATTTTACTGATCAGAATATCTCCCTAGCCTCATAGATGTACATATATTCTTTTTTTTTCTTTTTTTCTGGAGCTGAGAACCAAACCCAGGGCCTTGCACTTGCTAGGCAAGCAGTCTACCACTGAGCAAAATATATATTCTACATACACATATATTCTAAAGCTTGGGCTAAGATGAAAGATTATAAGCATTTATACAGTAGCACTGCCCTAATTGAAAATTACCAAGGGAAATTGTTATTTTCTTAACAGTTGCAAATCAGATGTATCCTATGCTTCTTTTCTAAAATAATATGTTTTTTTTCATTTGCATATTGATTCGGTGGAGTAGGCATCATAATCAACACTAAACCAGGACACTACCACATCTGTCCAGTTGAGTTGAAAAGTCCTCTCCCTCCCATGTGCTTCTACCAAGTACGTTCAAGATCCTGTAAATGGAAAAGGGATATCTATTCTATAATAGAGAGGCTTTCTATATGACTTTGGCCACATGATCCCTGGTGTTTTGCTGTGCCCCTAGTAGGTGGTCCCACTAGTGGTTGGCATAAGTCTTATGAAGTTTGCTCAGTTTGACATTCATTTTGCTAAATAGATTTAACAAAAGTATGTGTCTCAAATTTTCTACAAAATAGCTGTAGACATGGGCTATAACCACTGCCCACCTCTCTAGACAAATCCATAGTTCTCTTTTCCCCAAATATGCCATGCCTCCACCTTCATCTTCATACCTTGTGGACAGACTTGCTCCTCCACCTAGAACATTCTCATCTCTCCTCCATCTGCTCTTTCTGCATTTGTCATTTCCTTTACCTTATACCTTCTGTTCAGGCATCAAAAATATCATATGGGCTTCACCTTCCAAATTCTTCTATTATCTTACCACTGATCACCTCAGTGTAATGAATCTTTTTCTGTCCCTCCAGCCAGCTCCCAAATAATGACACAGAGATTTCTATTAATTACGAAAGTTCAACCTATAGCTTAGGCTTGTTCCCAACTACCTCTTAAAACTTAACCCATTTATTTTAATCTACATGCTAATATGTGGCATTACCTCTTTTCCATCTTTCTTCTTCTGTTTCTTCTCTATGTTTCCTGTTCCTTGATTCCTCCTACTCTTCTGTTCTCTCCCTGGAAATCCTGCCTATACCTTTTAGCTAGTTAATGGCCATTCAGCTCTTTATTAAATCAATCACAGCAATATATCTTCAGATAATGTGCGAATATCCCACAACATTTTCTCCTTTTGTCTAAATAAAAAGGAAATATTTTAACTCTAACATATCAAACCTATACAATAAAAGCAATTATCAGGTAAGAATTACATTTACAGTGTTCAGCCTATCTGTATTTGCCAAATTCAAAGAAAATATTCCATTATCTATCCTGTCTTGGTAAGTCAAAAGTTTTGTACCTAATTTACTTTATATCCAAACTTGTATTACCAACACAAAACAATTTTTTTAGACCTCAAAACATTTTCTTAGATAAACAATGTAAGCTTTTATGTCTCCTAATCTTATACACTTTAAACCTCTTTTGTGAGTTTCTTTTCTGAATTTGGTAACAAGGAAAACTGTAACAATAACTATCTAGTCTTCAACTCCATCAGAGACCCATGAAGGATATAATATTACCTGAGTAAACAGGAAGTGCAAAACAAGCAACTTTCAAAACTATAGAAATGACAGAGACATCTGGCTGCCTGGACAGTCATCCAAAATTCCTTTGCAACATTTGGGCATCCATTTTTGGCCTACAGGCCTAGAATATCTGACAGACTTTTCTGTGAAGCAGAAATCTTGAAAGATTGTCCAACCTTGTCTTGACAAAATTTGGCAGTTGCTTTCTTTTATGTCTTGCTTATCCAATTTGGACAATGTACTGTCAGCAGTTGAGGCAAGGGCAGTTTCTTGCCCAATGGATAACTTTTGCCAAAAAGCAAATTCCAAAAGGAGGCTCTTTGAATCCCATCATCCTTTTATGAAGTAGATTGGCAATGCCAATGTGCAGATGTGTCTCATTGTCATGAAAAGCCTTAGGTTATTAGAACATTTTAAAGCCATATTCTGTAGGTCTCTGAAGTATTAGAAGACCACATATTTATCTAAAATATATCTGTTTAACCTTTAAAACATACATAACATAGCTACAAGTTTGATGATTATAGATGACTACTAACCTGTATTTATTAATTATACATTATATTTTTAAGTTGCATAGATACAATATCTTAAACAAGAGTAGAAACACATATACAGCATAACAAAAATAACCTTAAATTTGTGTCAATACACAAAAATCCATGCCAATGTAAAATATTTGAGATTAGTGGTTATTCAAAAGTAAACTCAACAATCCACCCTTTTATCCCATCATTCTATATCCCCTCTTTTTCACTTCAGAATGAGATCCCTGAATCTAATCTCTTTTGTTCAGTTTTTTTCCTGACCATAACTAACAATGACTTGTAACCAACAAACACACACACACACACACACACACACACACACACATACACACACACACACTCCCAAATGATAATAACATCCATGACCCACCAAATAACCAAAAACCACCACCCCACCTCTTGAGATATGGATGCCATGTTCTCCAGATTGCTGCTTCCTATTGTCTGGGGGAGACAGTATCTTTAGGGGACCCTGATAAAATTGGGATAATGGTCAAGTCCTAGTAGAGCTAATTGTATAATTTTTTTTAGTCCAGTCTCTGTGTGATAGGATAATGCAGGGCTTATCTGAAGTCCTGGTCAAAGTAGTTTATGAGGCTGGACTATCTCAGCTAACAGCTTTGAAGTTGTTCTGGATGCAGAATTTTGAGGAAACTGCAACAGAGGCATTCTGAGAGACTGGATAACCTAGGCTACTTGTTTTCATTGGTGACCAATCCTTTCTTTTTGAAAACACAGACATTTTTAATAACATATATATCTGCGTTAAAACAGGTATGGAAAGTACAGTGTATATAAGTCAGCTAAAGATGATTTTTTGTTCTATGTTTGAGCAAATAAAAGGCATCTGCCAACTTTTTAAGTCCATTTTGACTGTATAACCAGAGTGTAATATAAATCCCCACCCATGTTATATGAAAGGATGGCATGTAATAATAAATCATGAAGACTCTGTAGCCAACAAGATTTATCATATTTCATCTAGTCTCAGAGCTGTTCTCATGTCAAGAGATCAGCATATACATCACCTGTCCTGTACTCTCTCTTGGGTTTTTTCCTCATGTCTGTAACCAAGATCCTCAGAAAATCACCCTGATCAAATCTGATCTTTATGAATTTTGAAGAGAACTATAACTTTTTGTTTCCTGTGGAAACAAAGGCATAACCTGTCCCCAATGCAACATTTTTTTTTTTCGGACTTCCATTTCAAAGCTAAGACATTCTTAAAATAGATAGGTTGGTTTAATTTAGCAGTTTTCATAATCTGATGTCTCTCAGCAGCTATTGCTTTTTTGAACATTAGCATTTAAAAATTTCAAAGTCTATAAAACTCCATAAAGAATCCAGACATCCTGTATATTTCCCATCTTTACATGGCTTAGTTTTTTTTATATTACTTTACTCTCTCTTTAAAGACTTTACTATTATTTTTAAACTAATTTTTAAGACTGTTTACACCCATTTTATTTTCTTTTTCAGCATCTAAGCACATTTTTAACATACTTCCATTTTTAGAGTTTTTCCATGTCTGAAAATGGCTTTACTAAGCACCTGCAGTGTTCTCTGATCCTATGAGACAAATCTTAAACTACTATGCCAGCTGCTTCATGGCTCTGCTTAGTGCATGGCACTGGCACATGCCACTGGTGGCTGGTTCCAGCCCACAGGCAACTGCTGGAAGCCATGTCTCTGTACACTAACAACAACTGGCCCACCTGAGAGACTGTAGAACTAGGAATCCACATGTGGCTCCTTGTCCAGAACTTTTCTTACCTTACTCAGGCCATATGTTTGAATTTTGGAGCCCTATGTTGGGTGCCATATTAATGAGTTTTTCTGTCCCACCAGCTAGCCTCCAAATAATGACACAGAGACTTCTTATTAATTATGTAAGCTCAGCCTATAGTTTAGGCTTGTTCCTAACTGGTTCTTATAGGTTAAATTAATTCATTTATATTAATCTATGTTCTATCCCATGTGTTACTTTTCTTCCATCTTGCACATCCTGTTTCCTCCCCATGTCTTCTGGCACCTCCTGCTCCTCAATTACTCCTACTCTTCCTTTCTTTCCCTGGAAATCCCACCTATACCTCCTGCCTAGATATTGGCCATTGAGCTCTTTATTAAATCAATCACAGCACTATATCTTCACACAGAGTACAAATACCCCATAACACCTCAGCAGTTCCCCGCATGGCCCAGACTACCAATCTCTAGCCTGAATTTCCATGATACCCTCCAGATTATTCACTTTTGCCCACTCCTTGCCAGCCCCCACAGCCTATGCTCTAATCAACAACAAAGTGGAACAAGCATCTCCTTTATCCCATGGCCTTTGAGCAGCCCTCCCATGTCACTCACTGCCAGTCAATACATATCCCTTCCATGCCCTGTAAGAACCAATTTGCATTACCCCTCCCTGCCCTCACTGCCTGGCTGTCATTCATAGTCTCCCTTTCTAGGTTCATTCCAGCCACTCTTCATCCCACGGTATGCAGGGTTGCTGTCTCCCTGCCCATTGTCTGCATGGAATTCTTCCCCACACACCCCAAGGCTAATAAATTCCTCCACTTTCTTTGTGCCTTCACTTAAATGTCACTTTCACATAGAGACCCACTCTGGCCATTCTTAATATTGCAATACATTACTCCCCATTCTGCTCCCATCCTGGGCACCTATTTCCCTTTAATCTGTTTTACATTTTTACCCCGGAGTGGGTTGTTTCTACCTTGTATCATATATATTGTCTTTTATTGTCCTTGAGTTTATTCTTTATTGTTTTATCTTCACAAAAGAAGTTCCATGAAAACAAAAACTGTTGCCTATTTCATTCACTGATGCATCTCAAGTATGATATGTTACCCAGTAAATATTTACTATGAATAGCATTTCACACCCGAAGTCATGTTTTCTTCCCATCTGTTCAGATTGTGAGTTTTTCTTTTATTTTTGAGATTATAATATAATAACATTATTTCCCCCCCTTCCTCCCTTCAAACCCTCCTACAGATCCCTTTCTTGTTCTTTTTCAAATTCATAGCCTCCTTTTTCATTAATTGCTGTTATGTACATATATGTATTTCTAACTACATAAGTACAATCTGCTCCATCCGTATAATTGTGTGTGTGTGTGTGTGTGTGTGTGTGTGTGTGTGCGCGTGCGTGCGTGCGTGCGCGCGCGCGCGTGCACACATGTGTGCATATGTGCTTTCAGGGCTGACCATTTGGTATTGAATAACCAATCAGTGTGCTCTTCCCAGGGAAGACTAATTTTCCTGCTCTCAACGTTCCTTAGTTGACTATAGTTCTTTATGTAGGGTTGGGGCCTCCTAGGTCCCACTCTTAAGAGTGTGTCTCTAATTGTTGGATACTATTACAGAAAACTGCAACCAATCAAAATGCAAAGTTATGGAGCCTAGTCCCAATGGATACATCTACAACTCCTGCACCTAAGGTTCCAGGGAGCATTGTGGAAGGAGAGGTGGAAAGAGTATGATAGCCAGAGGAACACAGTGTTTGCTATGACAGTGTGTCTCCTATTAATGTCAGAGCTGTACCCATAAAGTCTCACTAGCATGATTTCTTAAAGGCACAGAACATGTCATTTCTCATTTTAAATTCAGCAAAGTTTCCACCATATAACAGGCACTATAGGAATGTTTACTGAAGGAACAAGGAATTAGAAAAATAACCATCAAGTTGATAATATGATTCTTTTGTGATATTTTAGTGTATATACTTTAGTCATTGAAACCAGATTTTTTAAAAAAAAAACATATACTGTATGATTTCTGAAATGGCTTGCTTAATGTAAGCTATCTTCCTCAGTTATTCTTTCCCTTGATATATCCAAAACTAAATATCATCAGAGCTTGAGGTAATCTATCACGTTCACACAGATAGCATTCAAGTGGGAAGTGATTTGCTCAAGATCACTCACTGGATAAGTGGCAAGGCCAAGATTAAATGCACACTGAAACCCATGTTGCTTTAACACATCTTAAAGAATCTCTGGTAGGTTAAGGTCTTTGATTCCAAGCATCTGCAGTCTCTGGCACACAGTATGTACTAACAAAAGGCCCACTGAAGTAAGACTAGTAAGACTAGTCAATGGGTTTAAGGTATGTTTTCTTCCTAAGTTCCTTTTTCCCATCCTGATGATACTCTTTGGGTTGCTTTCTCATCTAACAATTCACCAAACACCCACACTTTTAGAGTGAACATTAAATTCCAAAACTTGAGATATTTTCAAAAACTGAAGCTTAAAAGCATCTTTTAATTATTAAAAAAAATTCTGTGTAAGAGAGTCATTGCATCTATAATTCTAAAGTTAGTATTACATAAGAATTCTTTTTGATGTCATGTGACATTCTAAATTAATTAGAGTAAAAAAAATCTATGTTCTTCTTAGGAAAATGAAAATCTTAAACTACCCCAGAAAGGTCATAGCAGGGGAAACAGAGACCTCCTAAACCTTTAAAGAAATGTACTGTCACTGTGTCCACAATCTCCCCATGAGACCACTCTGAGAAAATAGACTGGAATAAAATCACAGAGTTACAAAAGGCCTTCCTGAAAGATGAGCTTGTGTCTACTCCTCATATGACAAAGGCAGAAATTTAAGATATCAGATTATTGTCTTCCCTTACTAAAGCACACAGACATGAACTCAACTGTCACAGTGACATAATAACTAGAAAATCTTCAATTTAAAAGAAAATGAAAGAGCTGTCACTTACCTGATACACAGCCCGAGGTACCCTGAGACATCTCTAGGGTTGAGTGGACATTATCTCAGGAATCATTCAAAATAGTCACTTCCTGGTGTGAGATCAGGAGGCCAAAATGGTTAGAGCTGAGAGATTAGAATTTGGCAAAAGAGAAATGTATCCAAGATCACATAATGAATACTGACTGGACAAGCTGTCAAAGACTTGATTTACTCATTCAATCCACATATGTTTAGATATTGTGTTAAGATCTGGGGATCTAGGAAAAGATAGATGCCCTCTGTGCTTCACAAAGGGCACACCTCTGTCTAGTCTTCAGAACCCCCAAAATAAAAGCAGATAGATTATTAGGAGCTACAAGGTTAGAGTGCTGCCCTAAACTTTGTTCTGTTTTGGTTTGAGTATTGGTTTTAGATGGGAAAATTATTGTATATCTTATTCTCAGAAAATACCTAAACCCCATGAGCAAAACTTAGTCTCATAACTTAACTTACCAGTGATGAAAACAGTTCCCTAGTCCTGTTGGACTGGTGGTTGGGACTGAGTAGGATAAACAGCCAAAGTTGGTTTTTAAAACTATAATTATTTATTTGGTTGTTTTCTGACTTTTTCCTTCTAATATCTCTTGGTACTGTAAAAAGAAAGACTCCTGAGGTCAGAGAATCAGAACCTGCTTGATATGGTTCTTATGTTTACAGTTCTCCACACTAGGAAGAAGAGCACACTAGGAAAACAGTAGTCCAGTCTCATTGCCTTGTTCACTTCTGCATCTGACTCATCCAATAGGAACAAAGATCATGGTTGGGACTATAATCACAGAGCACAGCCAGGAAGGGCATATTTTCTGGGACATTGCACTTCAAGGAATACATTTTAACTGGCCCCAACCCAGCAAGGCTTTCCTCTTGAAAAGTGCAGGGCCATCCAAGGCACAGTGAGGAAGCCAAAATGGTAATGGCCACATCTTCAGATGAATGGGCTTTGAAGTCCCTGAAAGAGCAAACTGCTCTTGATCTTGCTTCCTCCACTGGCACATGCCTAGTTCCCACAAAAGCACAGATACTGTCCCAGCTCTTCTGATCCGAGGCATTTCCAAATGCAAAGACAAATACACTGTATGCCTTTCCTCTCCTTTCCACTTGGCCAGCTTCCTGGGGTCACAAGAATAAGATTTCAAGTTCTCAAAGGGCACTGCAAATGTGCACACTTGTTTGTTTCTGTCCTGCAAATCTGTGCTCTGCTGTCCTAGAAGCTTTAGAAATGATTTACATTTTTAGATTATGTGGTAGAGAACAGAAGCCTGTAGGAAATGTAGTTCCTGACTGGGGCCTGTGTTTCCCACTGTGGCATCTTTTTATTAATATTCCCATTGTAGTTGCTATTATTATTACTATTTCAGAATCCTTAATTATCCTGATTTATGCACATAACCATCTTACCTGTGAAACAGGAAAATGAAATGTAGACTTCCCAAATGGAATATGTGAGAAATAGATTCTACTACCTTGTAATGTACACCACCTCCAGGAATATCTCTTTCTCCCCTCACCTCTCTGTGTTTGTCTCTGTCTCTCTCTCTGTCTTTCTCTCTGTCTCTGTCTCTTTTGCGCTCTCTCTCTCTCTCTCTCTCTCTCACACACACACACACACACACACACACACCATTACTTATTCACAGAAACAATGCAAAAGAACCTTAAAGTTTGAAAAATACCTTGAGCATATGTCAATGCAACTAACATATTTTTTAAAAATCAGTCCATCTTATATTCCTAACATTTTAGACACCTCCATAAGTACTCCACAACAACATGTCTTCTAAAAGTCTCTAGCTGGGAAATATTGTCACAGTAAAACTAAAAATACATTTTGTGACCCCTTCCATGCACCTTTCTCTAAGCTACACTTCTTCAAAACGGTATTGGAAAACCAACACAGAGAAAGAATTCAAAACATTCTTACCAAGGCAGCAATCACATCTTAAATTGAAGGATTTTTTTTTCTCTAAGAATTTAAAGGAATTAGATTGTCACATGATGAATCCAGACAATAAGGGAAGTCCTTCCCAGAGTTAAGCTTAGCAAGGCTTCTTAAGAAGCAAGTATAATGCTAATGCCTGAGCTGTGGGCTCAGCTTCTGAAGATAAAGGATGCTTGCCTGACACCTTGAAGAGTGTGCCCGATGACAGCAAACCCCGGATGACTCTCCACCCTTCTCCCATTTACTGCAAATATGTAACAAGCATCTACAGTGTTCTTAGTCACTTTGTAGGACATCAGCAGGAAAGGACACCCTGTTATTCTACAAGTTGTTTCCTCCGTGTCCTGACACGGTGACTGAAGCCAGCCAGGCACTCCATCTGTGTCTCATTTATCCAAACCTATGGGAGTCAACATAAATTAGAATTTGTCAGAGTCCCTGGAAGTTAGTAATAACATTTTAGAATGCTCATATATTTAATTCTATCAAAAAGCATAGACAGGTTTACTTGCAAAGTTAAGACATCTTAAAATTCTGAACAGAAATGGAGGAGGAATGAATTGATGGGGCAGGGGTAGGAGAGAGGAACTGGGAGGAGAGGGGAGAGGGAAAACTGCAGCACAGATGTAAAATAAATAAACTAATTAAAAAATTTGCAAACTAACATCTCAGCTGAAATTATCACAATACCCATGAGTCAAATACGCCGGACGGTGTGATAGGTGTTCTAAGACTTGACCAGCAATGTCAACCTGCCCATTCTCTGTGCGTTGGTTTTAAGCAGTAAATAACAGTTTTTCAAGTGTAGTGCACAAATGGAAACTTAAGTCAGTTCAGTGCACTTTAATTAGTTAGCCAATTCAGAAAAGATAATTGGTTTTGGTTTAATTGTAAACTTCATCCCATACTGAATCCAAGTATAGGAAAACAGTTTGAGAATCATTGGTCTGGATTATTTATATTGGGGGGGGGGCACAGGATTACATATTCTATGCCTATAATAAACCAACTGCCTATTGCAGATCACATGCTTTACTAAGTAAACACAAACTGATTCATGATGAAACAAAAACAGGATTGGAACCTGAGTGCCATAAAACTAGCCCTTTTACAATATGTTTTTAAAGATGGAGGGGATTTGTGGACAAGTGATGACATACATATCATTAAGATATAATATTGTAAAATTTTTAGGGAACTTTCAGAATTTAATTCAATTTAAATGAAGTCAGTGCTGTGTAAAATGAAAATCAAGGTTATATTTGAAAGCATATGTATATATGTATATGCATATAACAATTAATGAAAACAAAGGACATTAATTGAAAGATGGTAAGGAGGGGTATATGAGAGGGTGTGTAAGGAGGGAAAGGAAGTGAGAAATTATGTAATTATATATAATCTCAAAAATAAAAGAAAAATTCTTGGGCTGTGGAGGTAGCTCAAGGGATAACATCCTTGCTGCAAACATATGAGGACCTGAGTTCAGTTCCCCGAAACGGTGTAAAAGTCAGGCACAGCAGCATGCACACTCTGCGGGAAAGGCAGAGACAGGAGAACTCCTGGAGGCTAGTTGGCCAGCTATTCCAGCTGAAATAGTGGTCTTCAGGTTCAGTAAGGGACTCTGCTATAATGAGTCTTTCTCTGCCCTGCCAGCCTGCACCCAAATAACAACACAGAGACTTATTAATTATGAAAGCTTTGCCTTAGTTTAGCTCTTATAACTTAAATTAACCCATTTATATTAATCTACTTTTTGTCTCGTGGTTTTTTATCTTTCTTTCATTCTATATGTGTGACTCCCTCCATGTCTCATTGGCATCTAATGCTTGCCTACATTCATCTCCTACTTCCTTCCTTTCTGCCTGGAAGTCCTGTCTATACCTCCTGCTTAACTGTTGGCCGTTCAGCTCTTTATGAAATCAATCACAGTAATATATCTCCATGCAGTGTACAAATATCCCACAGCATTTCTCTCTTTTTGTTTAAATAAAAAGGAAAGGTTTTAACTCTAAGATAGCAAAACTATAGCAATAAGAACAATTATCAGGTACGAATTATATTTACAATGTCCAATCTATCTGTATTTGCCAAATTCAGAGAAAATAATCCATTATCTATGCTATGTTGGTGAGTCAAAAGTTTTGTACCTAATTTACTTTCTATCCTAGCTTGTATTTCCAAACTGTCTTTTCAGACCTCAAAACATTTCTTAGATAAATGATTTAATCTTTTGTGTCTCTCAACCTCATGTACTTTTTATCTCTTTTGTGAGTTTTCTTTCTAAATTTGGTAACAAGGAAAACTGTAGCTATCTACTCTTCAACTCCATCAAAGACTCCATCAGAAGGATATACTATTACCTGAGTAAACAGGATGTGCAGAGCAAACAACTTCCAAAACTATAGAAATGACAGAGATATCTGGCTGCCTGAGCAGTCACCCAAGTTTCCTCTGCAACATTGGAGCATCCGTCTTTGGCCTAGAGGCCTAGAATATCTGACAGACTTTTCTGTGAAGCAGGAATTTTGAAGGACTGTTCTACCTTGTCTTGGCAAAGTTCAGCAGTTGTGTTTTTGTGTGTCCTGCTTGTCCACTTTGGACAGCACACTGTCAGCCATTGAGGCAAGAGCAATTTCTTGCCCAGTGGCTAACTTTTGCCACAAAGAGAGCAACCTCCATATGGTGGTTCTTCAATGCCCATCATCCTTTTTTGAGGTAAATTGGTACTGCCAGGAGCAGACATGTCTCACTGTCATGAAGAGCCTTAGGTTATTAGAATATTTTAAATTTTAAATTTTGTACATTTCTGAAGCTTTTGAAGACCATATATCTATCTAAAATATTTCTCTGTATGACCTTGAAAACATACAAATCATAGCTACAGTTTTGATTGTTATATATGACTAACTACTAACCTGCATTTTTAAATTATCTTAAATGGTTTACAATTATAGCTTTTAAGGACTAGAACTTTACATTACAGTTTTAAATGAGCTTTATATACACAATAACTTAAAAAAATATGAATATCTATGCAGCATAATGAAAATAACCTTAAATTTGTATCAATATACAAAAATCCATACCAATGTAAATTATTTGAGACTAATGCTTATTCAAAAGTAGACTCAACAATCCACCCTTTTATCCCATATTTCTATACTATATTATCCCCTTTTTCCCTTCAGAAAGAGATCCCTAAATCTAATCTTTTTTGTTCAGTTTTTCCTGACCATGAACAATAACAACTTGTAACCAATCCCCCAAATAATAACAAACACCCATAACCTACCAAATGACCAAAAACCACCCACCCTACCTCTTGGTAATGTGGGTATCGTGTTCTCTGACTGCTTCCTATTTTATGGGGGTGACAGTATCTTTAGGGAACCCTGAGAAAACTGTTTAATGGACAAGTCCTGGGAGAACTAGCTGTATCATTTGTTGTCCAGTCTCTGTATAATGGGAAAGTGCTGGGCTTATCTGAAGTCCTGACTGGAGTAGTCTATGATGCTGAACCATCTCAGCTCGCAGCTTTGAAGTTGTTCTGAATGCAAAATTTTGAGGAAACTGCAACAGAGGCATTCTGAGAGTCTGGATTACCTGGGGTACATGTCTTTATTGGTGTCTGGTCCTCTTTTCTGAAAACAAATAAACTTTTGAAGGTAACATATATATCTGTATTTAATGTAAGTATGGAAGGTGCAGTGTGTATAAGTCAGCTAACAATGATTTTTGTTTAATGCTTGAGCCATCTGTCAACTTTATAAGTCCATTTAGACTGTATAACCAAATGTCTATCCATGCCATATGAAAGGATGGCATGCAATAATAAGTTATGAGGACTCTGTAGCCCACAAGATTTATCATGTCTCATCCAGTCTCAGAGCTGTTCCCATAACTGAGGGACCAACTTGTACATCACCTGTTTTGTAGTCTTTTTTGGCTTTTTCCCTCATGTCTGTAGTGTCTGTAGCCAAGATCCTCAGGAGGTCTCTCCTGGTTAAATGTGATCTCAATTAAATTTGAAGGGATCTAATGCTTTTCAGTTCCTATGGAAACAAAAGGAATAACCTCTTACCCAATACAACACATTATCCAACTTCCATTTTGAAGCTAATATATCTCTAAAGTATATAGATTGGTTTTATTCAGCAGTCCCTTCCACAATCCAATGTCTCTCAGCAGCTGTCATTCTCTGTTCATTAGCATTCAAAAATTTCAGAATTAACAAAGCACCATGTAAGGTTCAAACTCTCTGTGTTATAATATTTTCCATTCCTTCATGGCTTGTATTTTTTATATCACTTTATTCTCTTTTTAAAGACTTTATTATGTTTAAATTGTTTATTTTTTCTATGACTATCTATATCCATTTTCTTATCTTTCTTTAGCATCTAAGTACAGTTTTAAGCATACTCTACCTGTTTGAGGTTTTCTTGATCTAGACCTGACTTTCTGAATGTCTGTAGCATTCTCTGACACCAGACCAACCTTTAAAATGGCCACACCAGCCTCCTCACAGTTCTGGCAACTGGCTCTGCCCCCTCAGTTCTGTGAGAGCCTCGCCTCATGGTGCCACCCACCATGTTTACTGCCCCAGCTCTGGGAATTTGCCGAGTCCAAGCAGCAGGTGTTTTTACCTATATTGGGCCAGCTGATCAAATGCTCTGTTGCACAGCATAGCCTCTTAAAAGAGCTGCACCTCTGTATGCCGAGCCTGCCCAAGAGACACTGGTCACCAGAAAACCATGTCAAGAAGTTGCATTTGACTCTGTGTTCAGAATTTTTTTCCTTTGGCTTTCACATCCTTTTGTGGATGTGCATGGCCAGACATTGGGCGCCATATGTAACAAGTCTTTCTCTATCCTGCCAGACAGCTCCTAGAGATATATTAATTATGAAAGCTTTGCCTTAGCTTGGGCTTGTCCCACTAGCCCTTATGGTTTCAGCTGGTCTCACTAGCTCTTATAACTTAAATTAACCCATTTCTATTAATCTACATTTTGCCTTGTGACTTTTTACTTTTCTTTCATTCTATACGTCCAACTCCCTCCATGTCCCCTTGGCGTCTAACACACATCTAGATTCATCTCCTACTTCCTTTCTCACTGCCTGGAAGTCCCACCTATATCTCCTGCCTAGCTATTGGCTGTTCTGCTCTTTATTAAACCAATTACAGTAATGTATCTTCACATGGTGTACAAATATCCCACAACACTCTGTCCCCCAAAATAAGATGAAAAGTGATGGCATGAAACAGTCAATGTCGACATCTGGCCTCCACATGAAGATGCACAGAGGAATGCACCTGCACAAATGAGCACACACATGACATATGTGTGCAATTGTGCAGGCTTCACACAGCTTAGCAACTAGTGTGGTTGCTAAGAGAACTGTAACCTTTACACACTACAGCAGTTCATCCTGGGCACCTTAAAAGAGGGTACATTGTATAGTACATAAACATGAAAGAGAAGTCACAGTGACTGGGGCATCAGAAAAGACTTCCTAAAAGACAAAAGGCTGAATATGACTAAGGTTTCACAAAAAGTGAAGAGAAGGAAAAAGATTTTTCCAGGTGGAGAGAGCATTCAGCACATATAGATCTGTAACTTTTCAAAACTAATGTGTTGGTGTGGTTTTATATACTAAATCTGAAGCATATTTTTCAGTCAACTTGAACCAAACCATGTACATGCTCCACAATCATCAGTGATTATTTACTTTCACCTTAAACCTCTAAATCTGAAAGGGGAAAAACGCCTAGCACTTACTGCTTACTAACAGCCTGACATAGCCATTATGCCCATTTTATGTTATTTTTCACAGTAATCCTGATGGATACGTAGTCATTATTTTTTTCTGCTTTATAAGTTCAAGGCTCAAGGTAGTTAAATGACTTTCTCAAACTTGCACAGCTAAGTAGCTGCCAAATCAAACCCAATTCCTCTATTCCACTACTACTCCTAAGGAAAAAAATTAAAATAGGTTTGTACCTAGAAAGAAAACATGGGTCCAGCCTTGCTGATATTGGCCTAGCTTACTGAGAGCAGCTGATGTAAGCGCAAAGTATGACCCCAATATTCATTATCCAAAGAGGCAATTGTTAACTCTATCATTAACTGCCATAACTATGTCTTCAATATGGAATGACTCATTGCATTGACTTCCATCCACATATTTTACTACTTCCTCAAGAGTGTCAAATTACACTGGATCAATACTTGTAATAGCATACTGTTATTTCCAAAAATCAATAGTGAATTGCAAGAACAAGTAATCAGCATGTGTTAAATGCTATTTAAGATTACATTTTTCTTTCCTAGCACCCCATTCTCTCGCTCTATCACAAGATACTTCCATGCATAATTAAAAGTAAATTGATAGGAGAAAAATGGAAAAGCACTGGCTATGAAATGCTACAATTTTCAACCAAGACTAAAATTTTGTGGGTTCACTTAATATGTTTGCATTTTCCTCTCGAGTTTATTGGTGGCAGTTTATTTGATGGTGATTTGTTCTTTAGAACATGCCACAATTCAACTTTATTTTAAAAATAAATAATTATTATACACACTGTCTCATGAATTGAAACTTTTAAAGAACTTTCTACTATGAAAGGTTGTGGGGGGAATCTGTGGTTGGTATGCGAAATGAATAGAAAATTTAATAAAAATTTAAAAAAGTAATAAATATACACATACATGGATGGAAACATGATAGAGCTATTCTATAATTTAATTTAATTTAATTTAATTATTATGATGTAGATGAACAATCTTCTTAAATAAGAAACACAGAGCCAATTGCAGGGTTAAAAGCCCAAGAGGTCAGAGCAATAGTTAAAAGCTAAAAACCTTACCCTTCACTGCCACTGCTGTCCTCCTCAGCAAGAGACCTACTTTCTGTGTGTTTGTCTTTTTATAGACTTTCTATTCTGCCTTCTCATTGGTTGTAAACCCAACCACATGACCTCCTCATCACTGCCCATCTATACAGACCTCCAGGTCTTCTATGGTTGGTATTGAGATTAAAGGCATGTGTCTCCATGCTGGCTGTATCCTTCAACACACAGAGATCTACCTGTCATGTGATTGGGATTAAGGGTGTGTGCTACCACTGCCAGACTTCTGCTATGGCTTGCTATTAGCTCTGACCCCCAGGCAACTTTATTTATTAACATACAAATAAAATCACATTTCAGTACAAATAAAATACCACCATATTATAGTACAGAAAATATTTAAAAATAATTGTGTTTAAAATAAGAATAAAGATTTCTCTCACCATTACTGCTATATTGGCAATGTGAACAAAGGAGTATATAAGTAACAATACATGTCTACATAAAGATCAACTTTATAGTGCAAATCCTAAGTTCATTGAAGACCTCTATAATAGAAAGGAATTATGCCTAAAACTTTTGTAAAAACAAAGCTGAGTCATTATGTAAAACTATCCACTTTAGGAAGCTGTGGAGGTATATAGAAGAAATTGTAGCAGTGAGGAGTGTGAGGCAAGAGGGTCACAAATTTCCAGTCTAGGATCACAGATTTTTAGTCTAGCCTGAGGTACAATAGTCAAACCTTGTCTAAAAACAACAACCATTTTGTGTGTGATTGTGTGCATCAGATTGAACATAGAATCTCTGTTGAAAATGAAAAGATCAAAATGTGGGCTTGAGAGTTGATGTTTTCTCTTTGTTAATGATTAACAGTTTGTGTTTGTGTTCTCTATTCTTTGACCCATTATACAATGGGTCTTACAATTGTACTATAAATTGTACTAATTAAATTATTCTTACTTTATGTGATTCCCATAAATTCATTAGTAAAACCAAAAAAGAAAAAAGAAAGAAAAAGAAAATTTGGAGGGTTTATTTATTTATTGATTGATTGATTGATTTGTGACAAAACTTCACCATATAGCCTTGGCTGGACTGTAACTTACTATGTAGACCAGGTTGACCTCAAACTCATTGAGATCTACCTGCCTCTGCCTCTATCTCTGAAGTGCCAGAATTAAAGGTGTGTACCACCATGCCTGGCGGAAGTTTTACTGATAGCCTACTCAGTCACCATCAGTCTCATAGCAGCACTGCTGTGGCAGCTCTGTGAGGAATTTACAAAGACATCTTTGGATGCAAAAGGAAGAGAAGTGATAAAACCTTAAATCTTGATAATTCCTATTTTAGTAAAAGTAGAAAATAATTTATAATATAGATATTTGTAACTTCATTGATGTTCACTAAGAAGTCTATGATGCCTTCAACAATATTTTAAATAGTAAAAATGTAAGTAAAATAGTTCTAAAAAGAATTTCTAGTTTCATATGCTCCTTTATTGACTTTACCTACATGGGGTCTTCCCAAAAACAACACATAGATAATGGCTCTTAAGATTAGTCTCCTCTTTTTCAATGGAGAACTTCATTGCATTCCTTTTTATGCCTTGTTTGTCTCTTGGGTATATTTTTCATGTGTGTCGGGGGAGGGGCTTTGTTTGGTTGTTTTCAGTGCTGGGAACAAAAAGAACCCAGGGTCTCCTATGTATTGGACAAGTGTATCTCACAAGTCTTTGACTCTGAATTAGTCATTAAACAGCATAGGGAAAAAAGTATACATTATGTTCTTGGTTTAGGGAAAATTATGTTGTAATTTTTATCTTAAATACTGTGGCAAGGGTAAAAGTTTGTTATGGACTTTAAGAGTAAAGTGAGATTAATTAATTTGATAATAATGATGAGAAAACAAAAGTTAACTTAGCGTCGAGCTAATTTTTATTACTGTCTACTAGACCAGGGAGATTTAACTAATTAATATGATTCTGAATCTGCAAGTTCATCCCTTTATCTTGTATCCCAAGCCACAGTGTACGCAGGGAGTTATTTTAGTGTCACTTATGTTTGGTGGTCCATTACAAGAACTCACTCAGTTGAGAAACTAAAGCAATAACATTGCTAAAAGTTCAAACTGTCAGATGCTAGCATTAGTTGTAACAACAAATGTTCCTTCTTCACTTTAAGCCACCATATTTTGGCTTTTTGAGATGAGTTTTCTCTATGTACCCAGGCTGACTTGAAACCAACGATGCTCCTGCTTCAGGCTCCCAGGTGCTGAGATTAGAGGCATATGTCACCACATTTGCTTTGATCACTGTATTATTTTACAAAGCACGTTGAAACACACTGCGTTTTATCCTGATGCAGCTCTGTGTATTTGACCAAGTCAGTAGTACTAATCATTCTATACTTAAGACATAGGGAAGGGAGACAATGAATTCACTTACACAAGGTCAAAGAGAAAGAACTCCGAGAATAGAAATCACTTCCTTCCATCACAATGTAGAAGTATCCAAAGTAAAAGGCAATAGAATGATTCCTATCTAAAATGCAGAAAATTATGACTGACATCCAGAAGTAGCTGGGTTATGTTTGCTATTGGAGAACCTTGAGAAAATATTGACAAGAATAAATAGAAGAGATATAGAATCATCAAAGCTCATACTACTTCAGATCTACCCTGCCTGGGTCTGTGGACTATAACAAATTCAATCCCAGATTCAACTGTTAATATTTTATAAATAAACAGGTATGCTGAGTACCAAATGCCTATTTGTTTATAGTAATAAAATTACTACCTTAAGTAAGATGTGCAGAAACTGTCTCACCAACAACTTGATATATGAGCAGAAATCTGAAGGATATGAGGGAGCAGAACCTATGAGGATATGGGAAGAACAGTCCTGGCAAGCCAGACAGAGCCTGAGGTGCAAGCCTACTCAGGAGCAATTGAAAGGATGACTGTGACTAGGTGGACTTAGGTTATAAAAAGTGGAGGAAGTGAGAACAGAGAAACGGTGCAGGCTAGAAGTTGTAGAACTTTGAAGCAAATGTTCTTTTTCCTTCAAGCTCTAAGATGTAGCAGGAACAATAACTAAGATTTAGAATATTGCCCATTTAAAAAGTGTGTTGATAGATCAAGAAAACCTGTTTGAGGAGTTGAATATATAGCTTAGTGGTAGTGTACCCCCCCACACACACATTCACACATAAAACTACTAATTATATTTATAAAGACCAAATGAATGTTAACACCCTGATACATATTTTTCTATAAATTTTGAGAATTCTCAGGCATTTTAATTTCCAGAGAATAAGCCATTTGTTAAAAATCCCAAGGTATTTGACGAGAACTAGAGTCAGCTTGTTCATTGTACAACAATAATTAAACACAGATAAGCTTCTCATATCAAATTGCCATTTTTGTCCTCAAGAATCAATACTAGAGTCATGTACTTATCCAAGTTACACTGTAAGTAAGTATAAATTGGCACACTACCTATTCCTACCACACAACTGTTGATCACATCTAAAGAAAGCAAAATGACTGAGTCATGTTTGCTTGGCCCTCAACACTGAGAAAATAGGATGTCTTCCTTTGCTGGTGTCTCTCCTCCCTGCAACAGAACACCTCTAATCTAACTGTATGACTTCAAGCAATATTCAGGTTGTCCTGACCTCTTGCAAGTCTTGTTCATAACAAGAATAGCAAGTTAGCCTACTTCCATCACCACAATAATGTATTATTCAAGACAGGAACATTGAAAGCACTATGAGCTACATTGATCAACATGTTGTCATTTCTTCAACAATTTTTATATGATTTTCTTATGTCAGACACTGGAAAAGAGACAAAAGAGTTGTTGAGAGAAGCACCCTCAAACAGCAGCTCTCTCCTGCAGGTGTGCATGCTGAGCCACAGCCTGAGGTGGCTGCAGTACAGGGTGTAACAATAGTACTGGGACACTTAAGTCCCTTGTCTGGTGTGAGAGACTTGAAAATATTGTTTTACGTCTGTCCTCTCTTTTGATCTTTGTAACAATTTTGAACACATTACACTTCCTAAACACAGTTAGAGTAATGCAAATTGTAACAGAGTACTGAGGAAGAAGTGCAGGAGTCAAGGCCCCTTGAGAGGAACTGAAGGACAACCCACTTAAAAATCACATGCATGTTTGTGTAAGTGTAACATACAGGACACATTAGTGATCCCCAAAGCCAGCATCATTGCCTTTTACATTACAGTGAAGTCTTCTCCTTTTTGGTTTTTAATGGCCTTAGATTATTTGATTTATAAAGAAAATCATGGTTCTTTACTAAAATAATTTACTCAACAGCATTCCTTGTTAAAGAGTCAAGAAATTACAAATTCCTGCTCAATATTGTTAAAGAAAATTGAGAAACAAAGGGATTTAATTAAATGGCAGAAAACTTGGCCAGCCTGATTGAGGCCTTGAATTCTATCTTCAGTACCACATAGAGAGAGGGGGCAGAAAAAAAGACAGAGAGAGACCAGCAGAGAGAGAGAGAAAGGAAGGAAGAGGAAGCAAGAATGAGAACAGAGGCAATGGCTCAGTCTACCCACATATATGCCAACACACATACACACATGCACATATACTGTGCACACTTACCGTGACAGAGGGGAAGAAAAGGTAGGAGGGAAAGAGGGAGAAGGTACTGAACATCATTAGCAATAAAGCTTAGCAAGTGTATATAATTTTCTCACAAGAAAAACATGAGTAAAATCTGAAATGAAAAGTTGGTATAGGTAGAAACTCATTAATAGTTACTGCTTGCATTATGAAGAAAAACGGAGCTAACATATTGCATATTATCATGAGTTTCCCACTTTGGTTCTACCTCATCAAAAACAAGATAATCTTCCTTGGCTTTTCAAATTTGGAAGCCATTTCACATAATGTATTGACTGAAAACATCCTCTCCATGGGTTTAAAACTGTCTCCTTCTTAAAGTTCATCTTAGCCACACAAGGTAACTGTAATTCTAGATATTTTCATAGAACCAAGCATTACATATAAATATAATACATTGGACAGAGACTCAGGAGATATGAGAGTTTAATTACAGCCTTGAACATATTATTTCACTTTCTTAGCCTTCATTAATGGCATACATCAAATAGTTTTTGAAAGGAGCCTTAATTTTTCTTGAAGTCTTTAATAAATATATTTAATGTAAAAGACATCTACACACACATACAGAGAGAGGGGGGTCATATCACATAAAAATACACTCATTAAAATAAATTCTCATGCTTTTTGTTTTGTTTTGTTTACAAAATCACCGTGGAATAGTTTCTTCATTTTATTTCTAGTACCACTAAACCATTAGATCATTTTACCCACTTCATCCAAACTTCATCAGACAATACTGCTCCCTGTCTTGTGGGATCTCCTTTGATCGACAGAGGCTAGAATGCCAATCATTTTTCTATTTGTTTGGAGCTTATGATAAAACTGTTCAGAACATGTTTTGCTTGCATTTCACCACAAGAGAGACAACAGGTAAAAAGTCTGGAAGGGACAGCGGAAGCTGACAGTTACTCATTTGCCCCATAAATCGTTGTTTACAGTACACGAGGTGCCTTCCAGTGCTTCATAAGCCTTTATCAGAGTAAAAGTCCGTGATAAGTGACAACAATAAAGGTTTGCTGAAGGGCTGGAGGACACATTCAGCTTTATGTCTTTTCAATTTTGTTTCAGATTGCTAATATAAAGAATCAACTTTTGAACTTTAAGCCATTTTTAGCCTGCTTCTAAAAAAGCAATAAAAGCAACTATATGGCTCCATGAACCATTTGTGTCCTGCCTCCTGTGTGTATGATTTTCTGCTTTCTGCAAGATCTACACTCACCACAAGAGTCAGTCAAGCACCATTCAAGGCAGAAGAACAGAGGCTCAGCAGTCTGAGTGGCACTGTTAACTACAGGATGTACTCATAAGGAATATCCTCTCAGCCTTAAGCCAGGCCTCTGGTGCCACCTCACATCCATCTAAGCCCTGTGCTTCAGGCCTCCAAAGAGTACACTATTGGCAAAATTGGCAGCCTTGTCACAGTTCTCAAGCTTGTTGTTGTTGTTGTTGTTGTTTGTTTATTTATAAACTGAGGACATGACCACTCCATGGTGTGGTTGAGGGGAAGGTTTTTATTGTAGATATGAGAGAGAAAACAGCCAGAGGTATCTGGAAGAGTCCAGGGCAGAGAGAGAAAGTAGTAGACTGAACATGGCCAGGAGACTGGGCCTGATGGGAAAGAAGCAGGAGCAGAGCAGAAAGAGATGGATGTATAGAGAGAGATGGGTAGAGTGAGAGATGAAGATGGGCAGAAGTGAGGAGAGCAAAACGGGGCCATAAGGAGAGAGAGTAACTGCAAGGAGGGAAGCCCATGAGCTGAAGAAGTTTAGGGTGGGGAAGGAAGTGAGAAGAGCCAGGATGCCAGCCAGCATGGACTCTGAAATGTGTAACAGGTATCTGTGACACTGAGGGGGCCACAATACCAGCATGTATCAGGCTGACTGACAGGTAGGGCTGAGGCAGGACTGGTCCAGCCTGTCTCTCCCTGCGGCTGAGCAGGATGCTGAGTGTCGATGGCCCAGACCTCCCCTGTCCACCAGAGAGAAGCACACTGAGCTGGGAGTCTTGTCAAAGCAGAAACTCATTTTATTGCATCAAGTGTGAACTTATATAGGTTGGAGGGATGGGGGGGATGGGGTGAGGATAGTGGGCCAATGAGATGATGCTATCTCAGCAGTTACTAGGCAGAGGAGATTCTAGGTGGAGTAGAGCTGAGTCACTGGTATGCAGAAGTCTTGTCCGAAAACAGGTAGCCAAACTTGAGCTAGGCTTGGGAAGTTACACTGAGCCTCACGCCCAGGCCTTATGGAGCCCAACAGGTATGTGTGATACTGAGGGATCCCAGAGGCCAGCATGCACTTTGGTGTGCCAATAGGCACTGCAGATAGCTATTTGTCCCTTCTGCCAGTGATAAGGGAAATGACTCCCTTTGGGAGAGGGAACTAGCTCCACAAGTTCCTGAGGAATGCTGACTGTTGTCTAACTACCAGAATTTAGGAAAATGGAGTTTCCTTTGGATATGACAGTTTTGATTGAATTCAAGGAGCACAGTAGTCGTGTTCATAACCTTTGCAGCTTTTTAGCTTGAAATACTCTTGAGAGAATTATTTACCCCCATTTTTTAAAAGTTAAAATAATGATAGTGTTGTTAGGATGAGTAACAAGGTATATGTGGTTTGAAAAGAAATGAGCTGTAAGATATTTTTTTCAAATGTTACATGAATGGTTTTGCCGTGCATATAGGAGAAGATATTTGAACAGTCAGTTGGCTCTCAGTGGCATAAGTGGCCTCCATCACAGACCAGTGTGAGGCAACTGTGAAAACATAGTTGTGCATCAAGAAACAAAAAAGCCCAACTGAGAAGTGAGAAACTTATGTGTAAGTGGCTGGTGTTATATTTACTTACGGTACCCGTTAGTCATGCGTTAAGGGGTTGGCCACAAGAATGGAAAATCTGTGTTCAGTAAACATGTTCCTGCTAAAACTTTTGTTTCAAGCCACAGATGGTTCGATAGCAGGAGAGCCCATTAGAATGCAACCAGAATCAAGTGAGTGTCAGGGTTGTAAAGAACATAGCCAGTGAGAAATTCCTCACAGCGTTTGCAAGAACATCAAGGGTAATTCTTCCTTAGAGGATATTTGATGTGGAAGAATCTGTATCAAGAAGAGGAAAACATAACCATCTTAGTACTTCATATACTTCAAGGAAATGAGTGGCTGGTCAGCACAAACTGTTCTCAACCATGTCAGACCAAGAAGCAAAGGGATTTCTGTGTTTCAAAGTCTAGATCATTCCAAGAAAAGGAGTCAGTCACTCTATGTAACAAACAACTAGACTTCTGAGGCACCCCACAAGTCCCTTATCTTGAATGAACTGGTCCACTTCGGGGGGAGGAGGGCATTATACTTACATTTTCATTATCCATTGTAGCTGAAATAATCATCTTGTCCTTCACTGTTATCAGGGCTTCTAGAGTTATTTCAGAGTTCAAAATCATTTTTCTCTTTTTCCCTCTAATTTAAAAGTACAACATAAAAATAAATTGTGTTGTGCTTCAAGTAATAAAACCTATACTCATCTGTTAAATGTGCAAAATTCTCCCTATAAAGCTAATTAACTAGATAAAAGGTCTATATCAGGCTTTAAGCAGTTTCTGTCTCAAAGGGCCTAACTCGGTAATTAATTATGTTTCTCGGAGTTTCTAAAAACACTTTTCCAGATTCATGAGTCTTTAGAAATGAAACACCTTGGGCATCATACAAAATATCTTAATTTTTCAATCTGCTTAGAAATGAGTCAAGTTCTTAAACGGAAGCAAAGTTAAATGACTTTAAAATCAGGCCTGAATAGTCTTATCATTTAATCATGTGTTTACCTCAGAGTTCAGATAACATTGGTTGGATTTCTACTCAGCCTCACTTTTAAAGCATTGTTAACAGTGAAGTGACCATTCATGGGGGCAGCTTAGCTTAAAGGATGGTGGAATTCAAAGGTATTAGTGAAGCATAAGTCAAGCCATGAACGTGTGTATCACTACTCAAGTATATGGCTCCTATTGGCATGCTACATAGGGTATGTATGAACATGTTGTGGCTGCCAGGAGTCTGTACAGCATCACCCATCACATGATCATGTTCATGTCATCCCGCCATTAAAGAAAATGCCAGGGCTATTCAAACAAAACCGAGATCTGTGATGTTTTTCTTATTAACCCTAACAGCACTTGACTTGCTGAAGGTAAGATCTTGAAAGGGAAAGATTAAGATAATCCTCATTGCACCATTCTGTTTAACCCCCTACCTTGGGTGTTACCCTCTTCCAATTTGTGAGTATAGATAAACTTTTAAAACTCCCCCAGAAAACCTGCTGAGCATGCTCAAAACCATGCCCACTGTTTATGAGGTCTATGCCTTGAAGTCTGTGTGTGCTCTAAATTCCATGGCTGTGTTACTATCACACACAGAACTTACTCACCTCTTTTGTAATCAGTCTCCAGCAGTGGATTTGCAAATCCTGCAAATTATTCCTGAACAGTAGGAGCAATATAGACTTAAAAGAAAAACTAGCACAAGACGGGGCTGATGATATCAGAAGAAACATTTTCTCTTGAAGGCATGAAGTACCTTCCCAAGACCACTGAAATGAAGTTCTTTCCTACCCCGTTAAGCCTTCAGAGTGCCTCCCTAAGAGGGTCGAAAAATTTAATTACAGGTTTCCTCTAATTACAGGCTCCTTTGCTATGTTTACCACACAGCTGGGAGCTCTGAGGGTGGAGTTTAGGCTCTTTAAAGTCCTGTTTTAATCCCCTTTGTAATTGTAATTGATTGCTGGTGTAAACTCCCTAGTAGGCTTGCCACCTTCAGAACCACCATTTCCCAGAGTGCATCATTTTGAATTGAAAGGCTGATATCTCTCCAAAAGTTTCCAGAATGTTTCACGAATTCTTTGAATTATGCATTAAACAGAATTCTTTAAAAAGAAAGCAAGAGGTTCCTTTGATGTCAGCTGGAGTTTTTCATCATATTATGGACTATTCATTTCTAGACTTTTATAGAGGTGGTTTCTTAAAACCAATGTTTAGGGCCCATCACCGATCTTACTCTAACCTTTACGTTTTATTTTAACAGCATCATGTGTCACCCTGAATGTGGCAGTTTCTGGCAGAAACCTGGTGGTTAGTTTCCAAAGAGGGGGTGGGAATAGAGAAAGAACAATTTGCTACAAACACGCCATCTGCTGCACAAAGTGTGTACTACAACAGGAATTTCACCAGAGAAAGTCCATTCAAAGCCTCATGGGAACAGGTTAAGCAGGGAGCTGTTGTGCATTTGTGGCTCCCTGTACTTTACATCACATCCTCAGGTCAGGGGTCCTTGATGACTTGAAGCTTTTTGATGATAAGTCCTCACAAGGAACAATCTTTGCTTGGTATATTTGACTTTGAGCTATTCCCCATCCAAACATCACCTTATAGATTATTAAGCAAATAATAACCCCTCTCTTTATGTAAAAGGAATAAGGTTGGCCAAGTTTCCACCATGGTAAGAAAATATAAATTCTATAACAAAAATGTTTACATCATAGATGATTTTGTATTACCATTCTTTTTATATCTTTCTGTATACAAAGCACTTCGAAATCCATCAACGGTTATGCCATATAGAGTGACCTTACACATTAGGTGAACTTTATCATTTGGCTCAGACACTTCTGAGCCATGTGCATTATGATGCCAGGTCACACAAGAACAAGGGCTTGCCTAAGCAAACCTGGATCAACAACTTATAGGAAATCAGATCCTCTCCCGAACAGTAACCACCTCTCAGTCTTCATCCACTGCCAACTCATGTTTCAGAATAACAGACATAAACAGATGAGATGCTCCAGCAAGGTGAAAAGATGCCAAGCTGGAGTAATGAAGAGAGAAATTGTTTTTCATCACAGGTTGAGACTATTTCGTTCTATTACTCTGTATTCTGTATATCTGTATATATCTGTTTATCTGTCGGGCCAAAGAAGACCTTAATAAGGACCAGATAAACCTTCACGGTTGTCTAGAAGAGATGCCACCTTCATCCGGAAGAATACATTGGTTCATGGAGAAAGTGTCATTTGAAAGAATGTAGGATTTCAGAATTGGGCACATCAGCAAGGGAACAACACTGAGTAATTAAATGAGCCAAAACTAAGAAAAATGTAGCACTGTTACATCATTATCACCTCTCAGCAAACATTTCTTGAAATTTGTTAAGCATCAAGTAACTGTTGGTATAGTCATGGATAAAGCAGACATGAAGTCACACCCTTGAGAATTTACATCCTGGGGTGCGCAGGAGAGGGCTCCATCAATCAAGCTCACGCTGTACAAGCCGGAGGACTGGAGCTCAGATCCCCAGAACCTTGTAAAATGACAGGAGGATGGTGGCTCACCCCTATTTCCAGACTCCGAAGGCAGACAGGATTCCCAGAGCAAGGAGGCCCGAGAGACTAGCTGTGTTGGTGAGATACAGATTTCATTGAGAGACCCTGTTTCATTGAATAAGATGAAAGACTGATGGAGGGTGTTCCCGACATCACCTTGGGCCTCAACATGTACCTACAATGCTTGTACACACACACACACACACACACACACACACACACACACACACACACACACCACATGAAAACAGAAGAAGAAAATAAAAACAATTTATAATAAGTAGTAAGTATTTGGGTCTCTACTGCAGAGGTTATTTCTAGATTAGATATATGTGTGGAAATAATTGGCATAGTTAAGCTGACAAGGGGGAAATCAATCACTTCAGGAAAATTTCAAGAAAGGAAAGAGAAAATAGTTCAGAAGAGGTGGCACAATGCCACACACCTGTAATTCCAATGTGGGCTACATAGGGAGATCCTGAAAAACAAACAAGGCACATGAATTTGAGACACTCCTACATTTAAAATATGAGTAAGAATTTATGAGTTAAATACATTGAAAACATGGTAGTATAAGAATAAAAATATCTTCCTTTCTGAATTTGGAAATATAAGCAGATTTACAAGCTTATCAATGTGTAGCTCAGATGTGACTTTAGACATCTTCATTATCCAATAATTATCACTATAATTTTAGAATTATGAATAGCTTTCTCCGAGGAACTCTAAATGCTTTATGTGCCTCTTCTAATGTATCTCCCTAGAATTGATATTAAATCATAAAATGATACATTATTGAAAGTTAAGCAAAAACACCATTAGTATCTATGCTATATTCAGTTTTAGATTTCCTTTGGGGAAACACTCAGTTCTCCGTTTTCACTTTCAGTGAGGTGAATCAAAGCAGAGCCGCAATTCTCAGCTTATTTGTGAATATATAATTAATGGAAACGATAGCCCAGTCATTCATCCCAGTACCCTTCTGCCTGGCTGTCCATCATTCTTCAATGAATGCCATCCAATGAGCTGTGGGGCTTGCTTTTTATAGCTCCCAAGTTATACTTCAGGGAAATTTAAAGCACAGCTTGGCTGGAGGTCAGTGCAAGGACCAAAAATCATCTCTCGACTTTTCTCGTCACTGTCAGGAATCAGTTG